AGGGATGCAGCCAGGTGTGCCTTTACAGCTGTACATGCACGACCATGACTAAGGTCTTTATTGCAGGGATTCCTACTGCTGCTCCCTGAAGAAACATTTTGTCTTCCCATCCAAAGCCTCTTATTAAATGACAAACCTCTTTGCAGTTGGGAAAAAGAATTCCTTGTGACTGTTCCTCAAAGCTTGTGAAACCTAGGAAATGCTAAACAGCCTTTCTTCAGCAACTGTAGGTACTGCCTATAGTTTATAATAGGAACATAATCTAGGGAGTCATTCAGGGTTTTTCTTAAATTACTGAAGGCTGCGAAGTTGCCAAGTGCTTGCTCTGCTCCGGACATACTTTGATAGCCAGCTGGCAAAATATTAGGATTATGGCATAGGGATCAAGCTATTTAATCACTAGCACCCTGTGTCTCCAGCCCATGATTCTAAATGTAACATCAGTCAGTTCTTAATTAAAAAGTGATACAATTTCAAACTTGTTAGCCAGTGTTTTGGGTTGGGTGAGACTGAAGAAAGGGTACTTTCCAACTAAGGATTTCTTCTGCTCAGCAGATTTCTGTCCAGAATATTTTGTCTACTGTAACATTTTTATGAGAGGCTACTGAACTAAAAATGGGCTTTGGACAAAGCAGCAGCATTTATATATCTGTGAGGGCTACCTATAAAGGGATCCAACATTCCAAGCTGTGACCTGATGATCCCTGTGATTACCCCAGGGATTTCTCCTTCCAGAGCTCATGAACTCAGGCTGGTCAGATGCATCCATGACACTGCCAAGGCTCTGTCACCATGTCTCCTAGACCAAAGATGATCTTTGCAAGTTAAAGCAAAACCTTCAGTTTGGACTGAAACATACCTGCATAGTATATCAAGTGTTTTATTTTCCTGATGTTGCTACAGAAGAATGAAAATTGGCAAGTAATTCTAACAAAGAATAAAGCAGCACAATTAGTTCTGCTTCTTGAAAACCGTAGTCCCCAAGCAGCTCTGGGAGATCTGAGAAGGAGACAGCAGCCCCAGTAAAAGGATAATAGCAGTGGTCCAGCCATGTCACTGCAGTCTCTTCAAGATGAAAGACTTTGTGAGTTAAGGGACACTGCCCCTAGCTCAGTGAATAACCAGGGGGAAACTGAACATAGAACCACACATGGGCTTACATATGTACACCTATATATAAATACATATACACACACACATATATGCGTGTGTCTGTGTCTTGTCTGCATCCATGTCCCGTCTGTTTTTTTCATAAAAGCTCAGTATACACTGAATATCTGCCTACAGTCTTTACAATGCTTGTTATGTCTCTTTCACATATCCCTGAACATGGGAAATTCAAAGCCAGGGCTGGAGCTTCCACTGGCCTGAGGCAGCTGTGCCATTTCCTAGGAATGGGCAGGAAAGCAGGTAGTAAGTAGGAAATCCAGTGTTCAGTCCCAATGCTGAAGTTAACAAAGAAAAAGATGTTCTTGCACCTTCCTTAGAACAAAGAAAACATAGAGGTCCAGCACAGAGAATCCAAATACAAGGGCCCCAAACCCATGAACTTAAAAGAGATTTTCCAGGTTTTCCATCAACACTGGGAGGTGAAGTGCTAGTATCCAGCCCCAGGCAGCAGACCTTGGGTATGCGCCCATCCTCAGGAGAGAGGCAGCAATCAGAAAGTGCCATGACCAGCATTTCATTTTGGCTGGCTTTGGAAGCCTCCAGCACAGCCTAGGGGCTTTCTGCAGCTCTGTCCAGCAGAACTGACCCCTGCTGACCATGTGGGGCTGGACATATGCACCAGGCTGCCTTTGCAGGGCTGTGGCAAGACTGTAACAGCAAAGGGACATGAGCCAGACACCTGCCTGATCCATCCCACCCCTCTTTTGGATTTGCTACATTTTTCTGGTGCCAGGAGGAAATAATCCAACCAAAACATGCTCATCAGCGAGCAGTTTACCTCAGTGAATTGTTCAGAGCCAAGGCAGGCCCTTGGCCATGGCAACACCAACTCCTGTACAGCAGCCCTAGGAGTCACAAAGCACAGCACAGGGAGTGATCTCCCTTGGTCTTACAAAGTGCAGAACAAATTAGCCATTCCCATTAGCTACACAGGATCAGTTCAGTGGAATCATTTATCAGGTAAGTACCATCCACCCGTTCTTCATTGATTTACCCCTTCTCAGGGATCTCCATTGTTCCCAGATGGATATGTGACATGGCACCACTTCCCACCCTGAAGTCATGTGCCTTGCCTGTTACCCCAACACTAAACCTAAGGCACAAATCTTTCTAACTCATTGCATTTCTGACAGGCGCCTGAGGTACTGCTAACAGCTGTGTGGGACTGGGCTTTGGTAGTAGCATTGTCCCAGTGTTATCCTCCTCAAATCAGGCTTGTCTCTTGCTACGTCAGAAAAAGATGGAGTACAGAGAAAGAAATCACACTGTAGCTGACCAACCCTTTTTCAGAAGTTTTGTTTTTCAAAACCTAAGGTGGCTTTCAAGCTGCTTCTGGTACAACAGAACTTGCTGCTGCTGAAGCCTGATGTAGGCTACTGGGTTACAATACAGGCTGGCAAAGAAATGTAAAGAAAGAAAAAATTAGTAGTCATAAGGCACTAAGCAGCAAAGTATAATGGACTAATTAAAGTCTTTTTAAGCTGTCCCATCGTGGTTGTTTTATTTGAAAGCCATTTACTGAAAATGAGTGTTTCCTCTCTAATTTGTCCTCCTTCTCAGGGCATTATCAGTCTCCACTGGCCCCCAGCTGGGTAATAATTAGCATTGACTCCATGCTTCTCAGAAGGCTGATCAATCACTTTATTATACTAATTAAGAAACCCATTGCTCTTGCAGACAGTCCAATACAGTTTGACCCAATTGGTCCTTCCATCCAAACACCATCACCTTTGGCCAAACAAGAAACCACTCTTTGGTAAACAAATCTCCAAAACACATTCCACAGCTTCACAACAACAGGTGCAGCAAGTGAGAATAAGAATTGTTTATCATTCTTTTCTCTGATCTTCTCACAGCCTTTCCCAGGATGATGCCTGGGAAAGTTGTGTTGCTCTCTGTGGCCAGAGAGCTGCTGCCACAATTATCATCTCCTTGCTACAGTTTGCACTGCTTCCTTACATATGTGATGTGGCAGAGCACACCTTTCAGGGCTACACCATCTGCAGCAAAGAGGAAACTTGGAAGTTCAGAGCTGAGCTTACTGAGAGTTTATATATTTATTCCTGCCTGGAGCCAGAGCTGCTCCCTTCTGGGTCACACCAGGCCCTCCACAGCCAGCAGCAGCGTGTGAAAGACTGCAACCTGCTGAGGAGGTGAAAGCTCTGGGAATAACATGGAACAAGAAATTACAGCCTGCTCTTAGCAGGTGTCCCAACCCTTGTCAATGGTCTCAAATGGAAACCTTGGCAAAGGTTATATAATCTGGCCCAGTATTGCTGGGGTCTCCTGTTGTGGGTGCTGCTGCCTTGGTGCTACATTAGAATATATGTGGAGTATTCCCATGCAGCCTCTCACACCAGACATGAGTGATTTCTGTTCCTGCTCTGGGTGAAGCCAAAGCAAACCAGGGGCAGCTGGGGCTATGCAGTGGCAGAAGGCTCAGGAACACTGTGGCCACAGTGACTTGGCTTCTCATTAGGCATTGGTTCAGCAGGAGAGCTTTTCATGTCACATCAGCCTGCAAAAGACTTCGATGCCCTTGGACTCAGATCCCCAGAGAGCCAGGATCATGTGCCTAGTGGAGGGTTTTCTGATCTGCCAGGCACTTTGGTTTGTGGCTGTTTAGGCCTCTGACACAAAGGCAGACTCACTTTGTGAGTTTGCAAATTCAGAGACCTCTTTCAAAAATGCTTGTGAGGGTATTTTCTGCTGGGTGCTCTTTTGGGGTAAGCAGGGACAAGTCTGAGTCTAATGGCCCTGCAGGAAAAATGTTCAGCTACACTTCCACATGCAGAGGGCTTCTCCAGTGGTTGTAACTGTGACAGAATAGCCCACAGTAAGCAAATAATCTTGTAAGCAAGACACATAATTTTGAGGTCTAAATCAAATTCAATCTAGAAGCCTATAAGCATCAACTGTCTAGATGACAGCATTACATAAAAGAAGCCTCAACATACAGTTTTAATTATTTTGCAGTTCAGTAGCAACTGGAAACCTCAGTGGAGTCATGCTCCAGCATGCCAAGTGCTATATTAATAAATGTCATGGGCTGGTCCTTACCCCAGAGAACCCAGTGTACACAGACAAGGCATATTCTAAGAAGGAAGCAGAAATGCAGAGACAGATGACATGACTACCCCAAGGCCAAACAGTAGGTGGTTGGTGGGGCAGAGATTTCCCAGCACCACACTGCTTTCAGGCCTCAAAAGTCCTGGCTTTGTGCACCATCAATTGGCAGTGGTCAACCACAAAGCACTGCTTAGAACCTAAAAGTCAAATTATTCTTTTGCCTCACATTCCAGTACCTTTTTGGAGAAAATAGGAGATTTTAAATTTTTTTTTCCCTCATGGCCTTGATTTTTTGGGTGGTTTTAGTTTTGTTTATTTGTTTTTTGGGTTTCTTTTGGGGGGCTTTTTTTGCTAAGGAGGTTTCTGTAACTGCTTACAGAGACCAAAAAATCCCCAAACCCAAAATCCCATGTATCTGGCTCTGTCCCCTTCACACCATTGGGTTCACATCTCCCTTGTAGTAAAAATATAGGCATTCACCAAGAAGGAACATTTGTCTGTCCACTCCCAGAATGGGACACCAGGACCTCTGTCCTGTGTCTCAGTGGATAAATACACTCCAGGCTGGCTGTGTACCACTCACTGGGCAGAAGCACCTGGATTTTTTTAACTTTATCATAAGTGCATAAGACTTCTCAGAGCAGAGCAGATATGAAGCAGACTTAAAGCCAGTCAAAAGATTTGCAAAAGCTCCATGCCCACCTTCAAAAACTTGATGGAAAATATATCAGCCAGGTAGAGGTGACTTGGAGACCACCAACCTTGTCTATCACAGTGTGTCCTGAGCTTTCTGTGTGCTGGTAACATTGCACCAGCCACAGACAGAACAGGAGGCACGGCAAAGCAGGGAGCTTCCTCAAGAAATGCAGGAATGCAGCAGCATCCATCCTGCAATCATTTCATCCGCCCATCAGATCATTTCTCTTCTGGAAATTGATATTAAAGGAAGACTGTTCTTGAAAACCAGCTGTGGTCCAGAGCCCTTTAAGTATTCTCAGTCTCTGGGCTCAGGGTCATGAGACAGTGCCTCACATTACACCAGGCTCACTGCCAAGGCATCAACAGGAGATGAGTTAAGTGCAATTGCAAAGCACTGGCCCAGCTCTTTGTAGATTTCTATGGCTTATGCCAGGGCTTGGACAGCAAGAATCACCCCTCCATGTGCAACAGAAAGTAGTGTTCTATAAGAGTGTGAGGATATATATTAGTGCTGCTCCACAGCTCAAACACACCAAAAATTATTGGCTTTATTTGGACAAAAATACTAACCCAGTTAGCACCTCAGTAGGTGCTAATGATACACTTGGGTCTCTGGCCATGTTCTGGAATAAAAATGAGTGTTATTAATTACCTACAATCAATGTGTTCATTACATTATGTGGGACCTGGATGATCCTGTTCATTTTCAATTAAATATGTGTTTATTGCAGAATTTAGCAAATAAGATGGGTTTATGTACATTAAATGCTCTTCCAAGATTCCTCTGTTCTTGCAATGTCCATAAGGACAGCAAACATAAGGAATTGCTTTCACAAGGATGTAGATGAAAGATAGGTCATTAGCACTGTAGCTAACAGCCTACCACCTAAAATAACCCATGATCCTCATTAGACTGGACAGGTTTATAGAGGTGAAGATGCCAAAGTAGCTTGTGGAGTACCTTGCTAATACCAGGCATGACACTGGAGAAATGCCTCACGTGTTGCCTGCTTCAGCAAGCAGAAACAGCAACCTGTTTTCAGGGTTGAGGAATGATGGAGATCAATCAGAGGGTGACTTGAGTTGCCATGGTAACAACCTCAAAGGGGACAAAGGAAATAAAGTTAAATAAAAGTGGTGAAATTAATTTTTCCCCTCATTAACTAGATGACTTTAACACAAAATTGCTGAATATGATTGCTACTAGATTAGGAACAACAGTTCTGTAGTGTGTTGGTCTAAATTCACTTCCAACACAGGCAGAAACACTGAAAACAGCACCAGTGGCAACTAAAGAGGGAAAAAAGAGCCAAAATAACTGTTGTATGAATATAGCTTCCTTAATAAAGAAAGGTGTTACAGGTTTGTTTGTTACAGACATTTCTGCAACAGAATGGAACATGACTTATAAAGCAACAACTGTACTGAATGCTGGACAGTTGTTGGGTAAAATTCATATTGCCTTGACTCCTGACTGCCTTAAACAGGCACACTGACTGGGAGATGGGGACTGGGATCTCAGGTAGAACATTTCCTGTAAAAATTTGGGTTGCTCTACCCTGAATTTTTCGCCCCATTCCCCAGACAGCCCAGTCTCAAGCACTGAGGAAAACCACTACTATCTTTTTAACACAGAGTTTTGAATATTCCTGGTTCAAGTCTGCTGTCTCAGCACAAGATTTAAAGTGGAGGTCTGCCATCTCAAAATTAAGTCTAAGGTACCGTGGTGTGGGTAACCATCAGTCTTTCCTGTTTATAGAAACAGGAACCAGTGCCTGAAATTACTTGTTCAGGGCTAGAAGATTGGGTTTTATCCTGTGCATTAATCATTACTTTATAAAAAGCAGAAGATCTAACATGAGGGACAGAGTGCTTGCAACATCTTTCTCCGGCTCCCTCAAGAGTATTCTACTTCATTCCTGGTGGCTGGGGCATGTCCTTGGGAAGATGTGCAGTTTCAGGCTCCCTCAGGGAGAGGAGTCACTCGAGCCCCAGGACTCCACATCCCAGCCCCAGCCATCTCCCTGCTCATTACAGCCAGCAGCCATGTGCTGGGCTGTAATACCTGAGCCTAATCGTGCAAAGAACCTTTAGCTCCTCAAGCAAAGCAGCTCTTTGTGGATGTCAAAGCATCAGCTCTTCCCGAAAGGTTAAACAGGGCCTTGACTCCTCCAATTACTTGGCTTGGAGACAATGAGCTTTTGCAGGCTAAGCAAAGCTCTGCATGTGAAAAGAGCTGAGCTGACATGTATTTAGTATGTTGCTAGCTTCTCCTCCCAGAGGCTTTGATCGATGTTCAGAGAGCAGGTAAAATGCACAGCCCCTGCCCAGATGCCAGTGGCAGTTCCAACAAGACACCCTGGCAAGGAAACCTCCTAAATGGATAGAAAATGGGAGGTCTGTGATGCAAATAATGAATGCCACACAAATGCTCCCATCTGCTGATCTAATGAACTCTGCTGATGGATCCTCAATGAGCTTTCCTCTTTGGTTTTACACCACGGGAGTAACTTATTTTCTCCATTTCAATGCCAAGACACTAAAGCTTAGAGAAACTTGGTGAAAGCTACAAGAAAATCTGCCATGCCAGAACAGAACTTCAAACTTTCAGCTCCTATTCATTGTTACCCTGTGTTTTTCTCCCTTGGTCTTAGTACTTGGTGCAGGTACTCCTGTGAAGTTACTAGGAAATATGACTGGAGACCACATTGCTCAGTGACATCTTCAAATGGTGTAGCTGACAGCAAAGGAAGGGTTTGTTTGCATATGCTATTTGGTGCACTGCTGGGGCACTGGTTTGTCGTTTCTGGTTAATGAAAAGCACCAAGTCAATTTTTCTGTAAAAATAACTCCTGCAGCAACAACACAGGAAACAACATTACAAGGAGAAAATCCAGGCAGAACAGATGTGTCCAGAGGCTCAGAGCATCTTGGTAGAGACCAGGTTGAGAGCAGGTTAAGCTCAATTGTGGTAACAAATGGGATTGGATTGATATGAACATGCATGAATTGTATCAAACCTACTAGAAAGCTACTGAAGAGCAGACTATTTCTATTTCACAGAGGCCTGTGAATCCTATTCATAGCAAAATTAGCAACCCAGACAGAGAACTACCCATCCAGACCAGGAGCTATCTTTAAACACAGCAGGAGCTCTGTCTTGCCTTCAGACCATCCCAGATCTCTGGTGGTGAGCGTGAGGAGGCAAGAACAGGAAGCAAGGAAATGTACCGTGAAAAATATAAAGCATGTTTAGTCTTGTGGACTGACAGTGGAAAGGAGATCATAAAAGAGCATAACCAAAGTGCACTGACAAAAAGGAAACAGTTGACCTTGAAAAGATAAATAGATTTAATGATGTTGTGAAAGTATTTGTAATTTATTACATCTTTCTGCTGCTTTATAGCATATGAACCAAGGTGAATAATTTTTTTGTTCTGACTTCCTGTTTTTCATAAAACCCCCTTGTTTTATTTAGAACATTCTTAAATAGAAAGGACAAGATCTGAGATTTTACCAAATTCTTTCAAAGTGTTAAATAAGTATTTCACCCTCTGATATGAACAACTGTTGTTCATGTAAAAATTGGTTGCACATAGTGCAAAGAAAGGCAAAAATCCATGTCTCTTTCTCAAATTTCTTCACCAATGCAGTAGCATGCTTTGAAGACTGGTTTAGAAAATGACTTAAGCAAAACCATGTTCAAACTGATTTCAACAACCCAATCAATTTGACAATATCAACAAGCTTTAAACTGTGGCAGTTAATCAGTGCAAAACTGCCTGTGGAAGATGCTTCAGAACTCCTACAAAAAAACGTCCCTGGTTTATCAACAAACTTCTGATATATGCATGTAGAAGAGCCCTTGAAAACATGGGTTTAAGCAAGCAAGGCAGAACTCTTAACAGCTAAGATAGAGCCACTCCCTAGCTACTAACTGCAAAACCAGCTCCCTTTAGAAAGAGGAGAAACATTTTCAGAAGAGAGAGCCTCTCCCAGCTGGCCATCTTTCTCTGAGACTAACTGTGTTGGCAAATTTGTCCCACTTGTGTTCCTCAAAGAGCAGCAGAGGCAGCTGCAGATGGGCTGGGACATCAAACTGCCTGCTGGAGCAGCTAAGGGGAGTAACCCATAATGCTGGATGGAGCTGATGGCTGGGCAGCCAAAGCACCTGAAAAGTCTCAGTCAAGATTCAGTGAAATACACCCAACACTTCATTCAAATGGGCAGGCCAAGTCCAACTCCTCGGTTAAAATGTTTGCATTTATGGAGCCTTCTTAGCTTATTCAATCAGTTCCAAGGAAGTTTCAGAAGAAACTAAAGTTTATAAGCTGATGGCTTACACTCTGCAGAACAGCTGTCTTGAAAATTGCACCAACAGCTTTGACTGGCTGAGAACATGGCCTTGTAGAAGTCCAGTGCTGGTCCCAAGGATCCTGTGATCCCTCAGCCAAAGTTGCTTATGCACCCTCCCTTCTGGCTCTTTGTTCTGAGGTCCAGCCGTGTCTCTGCAGCAAAGCCTTTCCCACCCCAATTTGGTCAGCACTGTTTTACTGAATGGGATGGAGGTCCCTGCTTAAAAACATCTTCCACTGATTGAAAAACATGGATGAGAAAATCACAATCAAAATCACTAACTGTGAAATTCCAATATCATCTGAGGCTACCAGGTAATTCTCTGAGGTATTTTTCACATTCTCTCCACATCCTCAATGATGGAGCAAAGACAGTGGAGATAATCCAGCCAACTGGTCTCCAGGTTGATCACTCAGCACTTCTGGATGTCTATTCCTGAGAGAAAACTGACCCTAACTAGGTGTTTTTAAACAGATTACCACACTGCCTGTCTGTCAGTGGTGGCCACGGTGCAGGACTGTACTGTCACAGCAACCTTGTGCCCACCATGAGAACAGACTTTTCCTCATGGGCAAATTCTCCTACACAATCCCTGAAAGTTATACACAGCAGGGTAAAATCTCTCCTTGTTTTTAGGCTGAATGCTTCAAAAATCACTCTAACTACAAAAAGCTGAACTTTGTGTGTCTGTAAGAGACAGCTCAAGAAAAATAAGAGCCCACATAGAACTTGGAAGGCTTCTGCAACTGTGACACATTTTACCACCATCAAACAGGACCCCCAAGTGCTACAGCTTCTCTTCTTCTTCTTCTTCTTCTTCTTCTTCTTCCACAGCTTCCTATCAGCTTCTCACATTTGTTACTTTTTTTGAATTCTTACAAACATTTTCTTTACAATTAAG